CACAGTTCTCACTTTTCTGGTTTCCCTGATTGAATGCTGAATACAGACTACTGCCACCTGCTGGTATGGTAGAGTTATGTTCTCTCGCACAAGCGCAGAGCGTATAAACTATTTGACTGTCGACTGTAGTCTGTCCGGTGTGTTCTAGTGCAACTTTTTTTGCCGCGATGCCACAGTCGGCTTTTCTCAGCACTTGTTCTTTGGCATCGGTTTGGTGTGCCCCTACCCTTGAGTTGTGTTATAATAAGGCTTCGTTCCACAGACAGCAGGCTTTCCTTCTCATTGCAATGAAAATGAACACAGAGACAGACGGAAACTTGATTTGCAAAATAAGTAGCCTAATCTGTGTCCATGTTTACCAACTTTACGGATATGAGTGTATGTTGTTTCCCAGTCATCCCGAAACATGAGATAGGAAAATCATACATTTTAGATTTATTTTCTAAATCTTTTCTAGATCTTATTATAAAATTATGTTTCTGCTCCAGTTTGTTGTTGAAATATAATTTACACAGTGGTTGTAAAAGCTTTTCATAACCGATTTATATAAACATAATAGACATAGACTTGTAAGCACATAAACATTACAGGTTAAGCAAAATATAATGAATACATAAGCTATTGTGCATATATTTAGCAAAATACTCTTCTCTAGATGTAATTTCTCTCACGAACTGATGAACTATGGATGCTGAATGACTTTCTGAGGTAAATGTGACATTGTTCACAACTGGTTTTATTGACCTCTTTTCCACGGTTGAGACACTGATTACATGGGATATGTTGCATATTAATAAGTTGTTTCTTTCAACATACTTTCAGATGTGTCTATATTTGAATGTATTTGTATGTCTTTCGTGCTATAAGTAGTAGTAAAAAGAAAGGGCTGGTCGTGTTCAGTCATGCTCTGCGCTGCCTGTTGAACTAAATTTCTCTATAAAATGGACAGAATTTGAAAAGTAATTTAGTTTCTTTCAAAAGTAACAATATCTAAAAATTCAGTATGAATATTTGTACCATTTTATATACACACACGCGGTCAAACCTAAATTTATTCAAACACATTCGACATTTCTCACATTATCACAGTTTATTTGCTAGTTAGTTTACAAAATGGTAATAAAATATGACAAGACCTTAGAGTTAAACTGTGTCAGAACAAATTCATCTCGATAATGTCAGATAACTTTGATAGAAAGGTGTGTAATGAATTAGGTTGAATAGCTGTCAGCTGTTAAATTTAAGTACACAATTAGATAATACCAATTTAGGTCACCCAATTACCAAGCACTGCTTAATTTTGTTCAGTCTGTGGTGTAAAAAGGTCGCATTAGCAATTAAAGAAAAACACTTAAGCAAAGCATGGTCAGGTCAAAGTGTCTGAATAATTTTTGGTCCCAAATTTTTATTAGTTTTACACTTAGTCCACTGTATGAATCATTTTTGGGTATAATATGTTACGTTTACTTTATTTTGCTATCCTCCCTTACCAACTAGTAAAAAAAAAAGTCTGGTGTCTGAATTATAATATAGGGATGGGCATTCCAAGCAAAAATAATATTAGAAAATCGCAAGGTATTATTCGATTATTATTCGAAAAATCGCATCCCTCCCCCGCATGCACGCACAAACACCTATAAACTGAGAAAGAGGGAGAGAGACGGGATTCACACTTTCAATATGTATGATAAACTGTTTAATTCAGAAGATAGACTACCTTAACTCAAGCCATACAATGATTGTAACGTGCTGAAACATATTAATATAATAAACACAATCGAAAGACGGCACTTATTAACATAATTAACATAACTACTTATCACACATTTTACAAGATTAGATGTTTGTCAGTGGTGCTCAGGATCTGAAAATCATTCGCCATCATCCTATCAGTCATCTCTCCTTGCTTTGTTTTTGTGGTAAGTGAAATGTTATGCACTGTAATATAACAGGCTACCGTTAGCAAGCAGCTAACCGTGTCCCTTTAGTGGCTCCGTAGAACGCGTTATTTGTTTTCCGCACCTTTCTGAATACGGATTCAGCCACACCTCTAACCCAGGTGTTTGTGGTCTGCACAGAACTTTTATTTGACATCGTCCCAAGTTACTGTAACCGTTATATGCTACGCAAGTCTTTTTTTATGCCATGCAAGTGTGCGCGTGAAACGGTGTGTTCTTCTGTTGTCTTTGACAGCTTTTAGGTGTGTTATTGGCAGCGCCACCCTCTGCTTACATGAACGCTTCACTACCGCATCAGCACGGAAAACATGGGGAGATTTTTTAAGACAATCGCACAACCAATTAGGGCTGCATGATATATAGTTTCAGCATCGATATCGTGATGTGTGCATCCACGATAGTCACATCGCAGGATGTGCGATGTTTAGTTTAGGCTACTGATTGTTATATTTATACTGATTGTTTTCTTTGCTCACACACAGACACCGTGTCTACACCGGACGCGACAGCTGTACAGCGATACCCATTTTAAATACATTTAGTAGCAGAGCTGCTGCACGTGATTTTCAGTGCTGGAAATGATCCTTTGTTGAAACTTTTGCGTCGTCATGGAGAGCGCAGGTCACGGTTGCTTAGCAATGGCAAACGCCACGAAAGCGCAAGCTCCCGATTGCTTTGGAAAGGAGAAAGCGGCTCGACTGGCTTTTTCCCACGCTTTTTTAGGCGCGACATGTGAACGGCCCCGTCTGTCTACACTGGACGCGACAAAGCGACCGTTGCCCATCATTTGAACTTCGTGTCAGTACGCCATAAAGAGAACGCGGCATCAGTTTACTGTCGGGGATTTGTCGTGTCGCGCCGCATCCAGTGTAGACAGACAGCATCACTGATTATAATGGGTTCATTGTATTTTGTTGTGTCACGCCACGCCGCTCGCGTCCGGTGTAGACACGGTGAGAGCCACGCAGATGCACGTGAACACTGAATTCTGTTCACTTCTGCATCTATTTGTGCCTGAAATACTGTGCTCTGCAAGTATCCTTGTAAACGCAGTTGCTTATGGCTGAGGTGAAGGGAAACCATTAAGAAAATGGATGTGTAACAGTATATTGGTTTACAGCAGTTTAATGTTCCTGAGGCTTTCTGTGTTAAGAGTGTTAATCAAACAACAAAACAAACAAAAAAAATCACTTTTGTAGATTTAACACAGATTTATTAGATTTAATTTATACAGTGAAGAATATGCATTATTATGCAGTGTTATTTTACATTTGATTATTCAATTTCTGTACCTGAATACTGTTAGACTTACCTGAAAAATATAAAGCAGTGCTTATTTCATTTGTATCTTTGTTCTGTTATATTTATCTATGCTTGTAATTTGTTTATGTCCTATGCTGATTTACTCGCCTACAAAATCACCCCAATCATTTTTCCCCCCAAATAAACTATTTGAGTCATGTGGGGATTTTTTTTTTTAAATATCGCAATATATATTGCAGTAAAAAAAATATTGCAATGTGAGTTTTTTTCCAATATCGTGCAGCCATACAACCTATTCGATATTCTATAATTAAATCAACTAATCGAATATTCGAAAATCGTGACCCATCCCTAATATACACTATATATATATATATGTATGTATGTATGTATGTATACATGTACATTAAATACATAATTGCAAGAGCTCATAAATCAAGTAAACATTCCATTAAGGAGGCTAAGAAATCTCAAACGGTGAGCCCATTTTCTGTTATACATCCATAAAAGCATTTAGCCACTTCCCCAGAGAGAAAGAAAAGTTTCCTAATCAGGGAGGCATTGGAGTATAAGACAGCAGAATTACACATTATGAAGACAAACAACAAGCTCATTAGTGTTAACACACAGTGTGGTAAGTGCCTGAGGAGCAATTCTCCAAATCCTTGAGGAAATTCCCACGGTCTGCTGTAATGTGCTGGGCTATATAATGTAATGCTTTATAGTAATTGGGCTTCTTACTGCATATTCCTTATAGATTCTGTCCACAGGACTTTAATCTCAACCTACATCTATCTTTGCTAATGCACGTTTCAGAGATCCTAGGTATATCTGATGAGCTCTGTGATGTGACTGTGGAAGTGCAGTACTAAACAGCTTTCCTAAGAGTGGGTTCAGCCCCACAACTTCAAAAATGCTGTTCAAAACAACTTCGAAAATTGACTTTTTTTTAATGCAGATTTATTTAACACTTTCCACCCCATTACAGCCAGATTAACTGTGTGAGAAACTTCTCACTGATAGAGAGTGTAGGCAGCTGGAAAGGCTATTTGGGTGCGGACTTGCCACAGTGGAAAACTAGTTTTTCTAGCCTGTGACGCCAACACAAGTGCCTGAGTCATCTTGTATTTGGGTTAACTCTAAACTCAGCGTCCATTGTCGATTTCAAACACATATAAATATATAACACATCCAAAATATAGTGAGCTGCCTATCTATTTACTGCCTACATAGGCTGCTGCCTTTTAAGGGAGCATTGTACCTGAAATAGAACCTCTTAAGCGACCGATTTGGAATGCTTTTCATAGGCAGCAACTCACAGTGCTACATATTTAGTGCTGAAGCATGGAGCATTAGTTTGATGTTAGCTTGTTATTAAGTTAATGCGATGCTCCTAAACTCATAGGAAATGTATAGCACACAAATAATGTATTTTTATTTAAGAGTTTCTCATTTTTAGTTTGCCACAGTGCATTCTGGTATTCCCTTCTTTCCTAAGGAATTAATTGTGGCCTATTCTTAAAAGGCAGCATGATTTTGATGCCCACCTTTTGGAACAACTTTCACATTATAAATTCACTTATGATGCCTTAAAATGCTATGAAAGAAGCTCACAGTGTTTTGAAACAAAGCTCATGTGTCAAGCTGAACTGATGTAGCATTTACCGGCTGTTTGCTCTGTGATTTTGTCCTGACATGTCTCTGTTTGCTTCCAGGGACACTTCGGGACAAGGCAGGTTCTGCACCATTTTCCGGTCGTACTCCAGGGGAGCACAGGTAAAAGCACTTTTAGTGTTCGAGTTTCACCATTTGTTCTCACTCTGAGGGTTGACGGTGTACTAAGTGCTTTGCTGAAGGCAAAAATGGACATACATGACATACTGCTTACATAACCTTATATAGTTTGGTTCAAAAGTCTGAGTCCAACAAGAAAAAAATCACTAGTGGGCTTGGAGTGTATTGAAATGTTTTTGCGTAGTGTAGTTCATATCCTGTAAGTGCTGTTAACGTCCCTCTTCACTGCATGAACAGGATACCGGCTAACAATACATGTTTGTTTGCCCTCTACAGGGGATCCTGTTGGTGTATGACATCACCAACCGCTGGTCGTTTGACGGGATAGACCGCTGGATCAGGGAGATTGATGAGGTAACATTAAGCTGCTCCTTATGATAACAGGAAGTGCGATCACTAATATACATATAGTCCTGTGGGCTATAAGTTTGAGACTGTTAGATAGATGTCCCTGCTTTACTGCATGTGTGTGTATTCTTAAAAGAATATTGTTCAGTATTACAGCAAGTTGAACCCAGACTCCTAGCATACAGTGTCACTGTTACTCTTCTTTCCTTTCCTCCCCCGTTCCTGTTGCTGTGTTATCCAGAGAGGATGTCCTCTCTTACTACAGCCCCGTTCCTTTTAGGCTACTCTGATACGGTCTCTTCCTTCCTTCCTTGTTCCTTGTGTATATTTAAGTGGATATGTGTGGACATCTGTGCTTAGGGAGTGTGTGTTTGTTGCATGGCTGAAGATTTCTTCACACAATGAGCTGCAGAAAGCACAAACCGCACATATGACGGAAAGAGGGAGCGTGTTGAATACTTGAGGCTCTGCTTTGACTTTGCCGCATTTACTTGAGTCAGACTTAAGCTGATGATTCACAGCGAGTCATTTCATTACAGAATGAGCTTTGACCTTGCTGAGCTTCGGAAGGGTGCATGGTGCAGTGCTTTGCTCAGTAAGCTTCGAATTAGTGTAGGGAGGAAACTTTTAAGGTCTCTTGCAGTCAGTTGATAAACATTTTGTAATCTAAGGTTGAGACATTTTAGGTTTATAGTAATGCTGTCAAACGATTAATCGCATCCAAAATAAAAGTTTTTGTTCTAATAATATATGTGCGTGTACAGTGTATATTTATTATGTATATATAAATACACCCACATACAGTATATATTTTGAAAATATTTACATGCATATATTTATATTCATATAATTTAATTTATATATAAATATTTTTAATATATAAACATAAGACTTTTTTCTTAAGCATATACATGCATGTGTGTGTATTTATATATACATAATAAATATAAACAGTACACTCATATATGTTATGTAAACAAAAACTTTTGTTTTGGATGCGATTAATCACGATTAATCGTTTGACAGCACTAGTTTATAGTTATGTTCACAAAATATTTACACTACCGTTCAGAAGTTTGAGGTTGGAAAGGTTTTTTAATGTTTGAAAGTCTCTTATGTTCACCAAGACTGCATTTAAAAAAAAAAATCAAAAATACAGAAAAAAACAGCAATATGTTTTTTTGTGAAATTATTACAATTTAAAATAGTTGTTTCTTATTTTAATTTATTTTAACATGTAATTTATTCCTGTGATGGTAAAGCTACTCAAAAAAAAAACTCTTCAGTGTCAGATGATCTGTCAGAAGTCATTCTAATACACTGATTTGCTGCTCAAGAAACATTTCATATTATTATCAATCTTGAAAACAGCTGTGCTGCTTCATATTTTTGTGGAAACTTTCAGGATTCTTAGAAAGTTCAGATGATAGAACGTTCAAATGAACAGCATTGAAATGTAATGGAAACTTTGACAAAAATGACACTTTTGATCATTTTAATGCATCCTTGCTGAATAAAATTATTAATCTATTTAAAAAAAACTTACTGATATAAAAAACTTAACTTACACTACCATTCTATATTTTTGAATGGTAGTGTAGATATATTTTTCCATGTATATTACTAGTGTATACATTTGTTTTCTTTTTTTATGCCAATAATGTAACATTATTAATATGTATTCATCAGTAAGTAATAATCAGAATTCATCATAAAAAAATTAAACCATATATTACTAATACATAATATAATACAATAATACTATTACAATTTAAAATTAAGTCCTAAAAAGTTAAATCAATCTCTTTTTTTTTTAAAATGCAAAAATACATTTAGGCCACATTGTAATGCGTATGAAAATTAGAATTTTTAATAAACAGTACACTCATATATGTTATGTAAACAAAAACTTTTGTTTTGGATGCGATTAATCACGATTAATCGTTTGACAGCACTAGTTTATAGTTATGTTCACAAAATATTTACACTACCGTTCAGAAGTTTGAGGTTGGAAAGGTTTTTTAATGTTTGAAAGTCTCTTATGTTCACCAAGACTGCATTTAAAAAAAAAAAAAAAAAATACAGAAAAAAACAGCAATATGTTTTTTTGTGAAATTATTACAATTTAAAATAGTTGTTTCTTATTTTAATTTATTTTAACATGTAATTTATTCCTGTGATGGTAAAGCTACTCAAAAAAAAAAAACTCTTCAGTGTCAGATGATCTGTCAGAAGTCATTCTAATACACTGATTTGCTGCTCAATAAATATTTCATATTATTATCAATCTTGAAAACAGCTGTGCTGCTTCATATTTTTGTGGAAACTTTCAGGATTCTTAGAAAGTTCAGATGATAGAACGTTCAAATGAACAGCATTGAAATGTAATGGAAACTTTGACAAAAATGACACTTTTGATCATTTTAATGCATCCTTGCTGAATAAAAGTATTAATCTATTTAAAAAAACTTACTGATATAAAAAACTTAACTTACACTACCATTCTATATTTTTGAATGGTAGTGTAGATATATTTTTCCATGTATATTACTAGTGTATACATTTGTTTTCTTTTTTTTTATTGCTGCCAATAATGTAACATTATTTATATGTATTCATCAGTAAGTAATAATCAGAATTCATCATAAAAAAATTAAACCATATATTACTAATACATAATATAATACAATAATACTATTACAATTTAAAATTAAGTCCTAAAAAGTTAAATCAATCTCTTTTTTTTTTTAAATGCAAAAATACATTTAGGCCACATTGTAATGCGTATGAAAATTAGAATTTTTATTTTTTTTAGATTTCCTTTAAAATTGGCTAAAGATTACATTGAACTGTGTTATTAGATTATTAGTGTTTTCAATGATTAAAGGAATGAGCATAATTATTCAATATCCGATATCAACTAAAAACTGATATGATATGTCTTTCAGAGCATTATTTGAGATTCAAGATTTGAAGAATAAGATTTGAGACTTGACTGTGATTTTATTTGAGCCCACTTGCAGCTGCTCAGTAGAGCTCCTAGAGATGGCTGAATGCTCTTTGCTCTGTAGACTCGAGAAAGGCACAGATATGACAGGCCTCATTGAATAAATAAATGAGACAGGCCAGCTGTGACACTATTTGAGATTCACTCAGCCTGACAGGACTGTGTATCTCCCTCGTTCTCATCTCTCCGGTCCTCCCATCCCCCTTTTGTTAACCCACTTTCTTGTCTCTTTGTCTTTCCTCAGCACGCACCTGGTGTACCCCGTATTCTTGTGGGTAACCGGCTGCACCTGGCGTTCAAGCGACAGGTCCCCACAGAACAGGCACGGGCGTATGCAGAAAAGAACGGCATGACGTTTTTCGAAGTGAGCCCTCTCTGCAACTTTAATGTCATCGAGTCGTTTACAGAGCTGTCGCGTATTGTGCTGATGAGGCATGGCATGGAGAAGTTCTGGAGACCCAACAGAGGTGAGTCTTCCTCAATAGACCGATGATACACCAACATCTCTTCACTTTGAAATCAATGAAAAAGTGGCAAAAAGGTCCATTCTTTCTGCTATTTTAGAGCGTAATCCCACAAATACTGTGGAGATCTTTGGTTTCAGCCTTCTGGGTGATGCAGGAAGGCTGGCATGATCAGCATAGCTTTCCATTAGCATAGGAAACTACACTGTATGTCGTCCAGAGCCGCGTAATTAGAGGCAGAAGGCTTTCAGTGAAGCACTTCTTTCTCTGTCTGTTTCCACTATTATGTGGGATTTTCCCATGAGACCTCACAGTGCCACAGATGAGCTGTTTAGCAGAAGCAGCATCCTGCAGTTCTGAGAA